TGTTCACAAGGCCACTGTGAGGGTTTAAAAGAAAGAATATATGTGAAAGAACCTAGGGTTATGAAAAAAGATTTTATACACATGTGTCAGGAGTGTGCTTCACTGATTCTGGTGCTCTCTCTCTGAGAAGCACTGCCTTAGTTCCCTGCCTGGTCTGGCATAGAGCAGGTCACCACCAAATGTCAATTACCTCCCCGCTTCATCTCTCCCTCTTCTCAACTCCATCCTCCCTCCACCCCACATAAAATCAGCGCAGCTAGTAGCTACAAGCCAGATTCCAAAAAATAAAAAGTAGACCCTCCTCAGAAGGGGGTGGGTATTCTCTACCCAAGATGTTAAAGCAACAGGGTATCCACGGTGGACATTCCTATTTAAGTTCCTTAACAGGAAAACTGACTCTGAGTCCTTATTTTAAATTTTAAAAACTGGCTTTCAGTTCCAGCTCCAAGTTGTCCTTCAGAGCTATAACTATAAATGAGAATCAATATCGGCTTATTCTACTGCCAAGGTTTCTGCATCTGATTTTGGCCAGGTAAACAGCGTATGTTTATGGGGAGAGAGGGAAGGGGAGGCAAGGAGGAACTTGTACTGAAAGTCTACTATGTGCCAGACACTTCAAATATGTTATCTCATCTAATCTTTCAAAATACCATGAAATGGGAATTACTATCCTCATTTCACAAAGAAACAAAAGCAGCAGAAAATATTTTCAAATGACAAAAAACCCTCATGAAAACAACTAGATTATCTTTGTTACCCAAAGATAAACAGGAAAAAAAAACAAGCCAAAGTCAGTTCTTTTATAAGAAAATTAATTTAAAACATTTAAAATAAATATTTTTAAATTGAAAAAGGTTTGAAAAATGTACATCCCACAAATGTTTCTTAAAAGTTACTCAAGCATGTACTCCAGCAAAATGAAGGCATAAACTAAAAAAGAGGAAGACATGGAAAAACGAAACAGCTATGAAGAGAAGTAAAGAGATGTCTTAGGATGACAACTCTATTGTAAGCCTAGAAAGCAATCAGAATACAGAATGGCACAGAAAGATGAAGGAATCTGGCCATAAATGTTACAAGGAAAAAGACTTGATAGAACCAATTGGATTAAGAGCCTAGAAAATTTCGACATTATAATACAGGAAGACAATATACAGATTTATAAAAAGGCAATTAGAGATCCTAGAAAAAAATGGTTAAGGGAGTCAAAGTACAAACATGAAGAAACTAAAAGGTGACACAAATTTAAACAACTGATAAGAGTGAAAAGAAAGAATCTGTTTGACTTTGATTCTGAGTCCTGACACCAGACCCAAGGCACAAGTCTAAAATCTAATCTTAATATATGAGGCAATGAATTATATTTCTAGAATTTAAATAATGTAAATATTGTCAATGGGTTTTCAACTTTAAGAATAATTTATGAATAAAAATGTCAATTTGGGGGCAAAGCACAAAATCTTTATTGGTTTTGGGTTCAGGGCTTTGGAATGTTACAGTGTCACTGACAAAAAGCGAACTGTAGAAGTGGTAGTTACCCAAACCTCCTTGACTTACAAAATGGGGTGTCAAGAAATACTGTGAAAAGTTGATCAAAAAAATAACAAAAGTGACCTAACCAATAAATTAAAAATAATATATCAAATTTGGGAGAGAAAGAAAAACACAGCTTAAAGAGCTATATTCTCACTTTCACACCAGAAGTTAAAAGTTTTATCAAACAATAGTGGTAAACACATTACTTAAGGTTAAGGAGGTAACAATCTAAGAATTAAATATAAAAACAGTTAAAAAAATTAAAAGGTGAACCTTGAGGTGAAGGAAACCATCGTTTTTCAAAAAAAGTCTGCTCTATTGGATTTGTTACCAAGTGCATAGATCACTTTGACAAAAATAATTTTCTACCACACATTTCAAAAAAGGCAAAATATTAAAATTATTGCTAAAAACTGGGAGTGGCCGGCAAATATTATAATTGGAATTTTATTTAAGAGTGGAGATAAAATATTTTCTTATAGAATGTTGTTCAAATAAAATTTTCTGCAAGAATATAAAGTTCTACTGAAGCCAGATCATTTTAGTCTTCATAATTCTTTATTTTCCGGTTTATGTACAATAAATATGTTCCATTTAGAAGCAGAAAATTTTTAAATTTTTAATGTGATCAATGTTCAAAGTCAGTGTACCAGGTTGCTAAGAGCCCAACATCTACACACACACTGCAACCTGATTTATGAGCTTTAGAGGACAGCAAGAACAATGCAATAGTTTTCAGGGGCCATGTGTTTTAACATTCAATCCTCTCCATTGTTACATGCTACCCTAAAGGAATGCCTGAACACCACAGGAGAGGTGTGAACACTCAGGAAAGATGCCCTTTAAAAGAGGTACCAGAAAGTGATTCCATTATACACCTAGGAACAATCTTACCTGAGAAAACAAAAAGCTCTTTAAAGCATCTTAGATGTCCATAAAGCTCATTGTTCAGCTGGTGAAATGATACAGGGGAAAAGGTAGGAATGGGAAAAACAGAAAACTGCTCTATGAACAGAGGGCAAGAGATCAGAGATCCAATCCAGGGTCCACCATTAAATAACCACATGACTTTCTCTAAGTCAAGTCATCACCCTTCCCTGGCCTGTGTCCTAGCAAACAAACAAACAAACAAACAAACAAAACCTTTGTCAATTCTAAAATACTTTGATTTCTGATTTATAAAGTCAACTCCTAAAGTAGGATTCTACTGCTAGTCCCATTTCAAGATGATGGCGCAAAGTAAAGGTAAATTTTAAGAAAATCAATTCAGGGTCAGTTGCTATCATTTTTCAAACTTCTACTTAATCCAATTGCCTTCTGAGGCTGTGTAACAAAGTGTGACATATAACAGTTACCTTATTTCAACCTTTAACAAAGTTCCAAAAAGAAACTCAGAGAACTCTTGGAAGATTGCTTATCTTGACTTTATTTCTTAAATTCCCTTGGCTACATGGCCAAAAATTTTCCAGGGATAGCATCAAATCAGGCCTATTTTTTCAGCTATTGTCTTCACTGACTATCCAAAGTGAAATGAAGATGCACTTTACCTTGGTTAGGAAGTGGTTATAGTTGTGGGATGGGCAGAAGGATCAGAGCAACTTTCTCTAAACCCAAGGCTAAGTTCTGTTTTTGCTCTAGTTTCACATAGTTCTGAGCTACTCCAATCATTCAAAAAAAGGGAATTTTTTTGTTTTGTTTTTGTTTGAGAGTCTTTTCTTCCTAGTTTTCCTCAGATATTAGGCAAGCCCAGCTCTTACTTCTTATTTATCTGTGTGGGTATATTCATAAATACAGTTTAAAAGTCATTTAGGTCCAAAATAGATCCCCCTAAATTATTGTAAATTATTGTGTCTTTAACTATTTTATTTATTGCTAAGCCCATTTCTATAAAAGTCACCATAAAATATTCGAAACTGCATTCACCTAAGCAAACTTAATACAAGATGCTAGGTATTTTGGACCTTTATGTACTACAGAAACTAATACCATCCTTTAGAACAACATCATCACATTTAGAAACTTGTCATATTATTACATCCCATACTTGAATTCCACCAGCCATTTAAAAGTTGAAGAAGTGAATACATGTCCACACTATCACTCAATAACTGGGATAAGACCAAAGGTGGAATAAAATGACCATCAAGTCTGTTTCAGGAAAAGTACTTCTTAGCATTGCACTAACCGCAGAAACAAAATAAAGAACTCCTCCTTGCACAAGATGTCAACAGCTTTGAGATGGGGAAGGAATAATTGGTCACCAGTATGAGTCAAAGAGTTGGTTCTAATAAACTTCATCCATTACTGTGTATTCGTTATTATGGCCCTCACATAGCAATCAAAGTATCAAATATTAGTGCCAAAGAAAGGACTAATTATACATTTTAAATAGCAAATAAAGTCTTAACATAACTTTTAAACTAAGGCTACTCCATCAAAGAAATGTGGATTCTAAATAAATAAACTCTAAAGACAAGTTCTTAGAGGAATTTTCCTCCATAGCAGTGAATGGGAAGCCAGTGCAAGCAATCCTGAAGCAAGTGGTCCAGCTGGCACAACTTCTATCTAGGCCATGGATAGCCTGACCTCCCCATGACTTCACTGGTCACATTTCAAATTCCAGCTCGGTTTCTCCTCTAGAATACAATTATCTTAGGGTACCACAATTGAAACAATCTTCTTTATGTCTGTGAACACATTTTCTTATACACTCTACTACCAAGCTAATGTAAAATTAATTACATCAAAAAGCTGGAACAGTGTGTAGGGATGAAGAATAACAAAGTAGGCTCCTGATTTGATGGTATTTTAGGTTACCAACTATGACATAATAAAACTCCTGACCCAATTTCCACACAATCCATTTGCCCAGCACACAACTACTTCACCACGCAGTTGCTAATTACATCACTGTGCTGCGTGCTCATTACATCACCCAGCTGGGACCACTAAGGTCCACCAGGTAGCGTTCACTTCTCCAGCTTGTTTTTCACAAGAATGGAGAGACTGCAGCCCATCTACACTACGAAGAGTCCCTTTCCTCCTCAAACCTCAGAACCTTTCTCGCATTTATCTTGGTGTCACATCCCAATGAACCAGGCTCTGAGGTATCTGACTTGGAGTGGGCAGGAAAGGAGGTTTGTGCTCAGGAGTCTGTATCAATATTCCAGATTCAGGGCAAAGTCATCAATGTGTTTCATGAGAATCCCCCCGAAACTACGTTTTTTTCTTCCTACCTCTAAGAGTTTCCATGTCCTGAATCTCTTGGGACTTCCAGGACACTGGAAGAACTTCACCAGACTGCTTCTGATGCCTTAAAATTCCAACACCCAGAGAATCACTCCCTATTTCCAGCTTCCCAGATCTTTGCGAAAGAACCGTGGAGGGGCACACCATCACACACGCGCGCGCGCCCTGGGCATCGCAACTCTGTGTCTCCCATCCCCAACTCCAGGCTCACTTACTTGAGGAAGTACCTCTGGCCAGTGGCGGTGAAGGTCATCTCCCAGCCCGGGGGCAGTGGCAGCTCGTCGGTCACATCGTAGGACTGCTGGCGGAGGTGCGCGTGCTGCTGCGCCGGGCTGCCAGCAGCGCCGGTGCTGGTGCCCAGCTGCAGGGACGCCGGAGACGAATGTGAGCGGACGTGCTGGGCGCCGCCGGCCAGCCGCGGCCCTGGGTGGCCGCCGGACGAGTCGGTGCTCGACTGCCGCGAGTGTGAGCCGGAATCAGGCTCCTTGAAAAACGACTCGGGCAGGATCTTCTTCCTCCACGAGCTGGGCTTGGGGTTCATGACCGAGTTGAAGAGGGCTTCGAGGTCCGTGTCTAGGTCCTGCGTGACGTGGATCACTTGCTGCCCGGGTGGCGGGAGCGGAGGGGGCGCCGAAGCCGGATTCATCTTCTGCAAGGAGAAAGGTCAGATCAGCCTTTTATTTAAAGTCGGGGAAGAGGGTGCGAGGAGAAAATAGAAAAGAAAAAGAGACAGATAGGTGTCTGCCTCAGGATCCCAGACACTGAGCAGTAAGACCGGCCGAATGGGGGAGGGGTCCCTCCTGGCCTCGAGAATTATGCAACTTTCTTGAAGCAAAGAAGTTACTGAGAAGAAAGGGCGGGCGAGGGTGGGGGGGAGGGGTAACTGCACTTGGAGGGACGTTGCTCAACTGCTGGTGGCGAAGGACAGGTCGCCAACTTTCCAGGGCAGGCAGCCCCCAAAGAAGTCTCAGCCCGAGCCAACTCCACATCTCGACTCCGGAAGTCTGAGGAGCAGGGCGCCCCAGAGTGGTGCCGGGTGAACGAACGGGCGCGCTCCAGCGGGTACTACCTGAGAGCGCAGCGAAGCCGAGTCTAGGCGTGCGGCGGCCGCCGTCCGGCCTGGGTCGCTCTGGTGCGTCCCGAGCTTGCAGAGCTGAAACCGGAGGCCAGTTAGCAAATCCTGACCCGACTCAGTGCCTGGCAGCCGAGGGGCTTCGGCTCTCACATCCCCTGAACTGGCCTCAGGCGTTCGCGCTCCCGGAGGAGGAGGCGGAGGAGAAGCAGACAGCGCGGCCGCCGCGGCTCCGGGACTGTCCCATAAACAAAGTTTGGAGCAAACTCCCACTCCCAGGAAAGAGGCGGGCCCGAAAGTTGAGCTGTTGAATTATGCATGACCTCCAAGTCCTGAGCCTGCCTGCCCCCGCTCGTCCCTCCCCTTCCTCCTCCTCCTTTTCCCCCACCCGGCTCCAGAAAACCTCGGGCGTAATGGGTGCTCTGCACGGTCAGAGACAAGTGCCCCTCACCCACTCCTTCTGGTCGCGCGGACCTCTCCCGCGGAGCCCTAATTCTGCATTCCTTTGAGTTTACCACGGACTTGGGGCGGGATCAAAGGGAAAGTGACCCAAGCCTGTTTAATCAAGGACTTGTGGACCGAAACCAAGGCCGAGGGCGGTGGAGGGCACGCGGGTGAGGGGCCCAGGACCGGGAAAGGCGGGTCCTGGGTGCCACACCCTCTGTTCGTGTCGGGCGCCGATAGAGCACCCAGAGCGCCGCACTGATCCGCAAAAAAAAAGGTTCAGCCGGAGGGCGGGCCCGGGTGCGCCCCAGCGCCAGGAGACACCAACAAGGCCAGCTTTTCCACGGGAGGCTGCTTAGCGCTTGTGACCATATTTGGTCTGGCGAGCCGGCATCTCGGCTGTTTGGCTTTCAGTTGTCTGCTCGAGCGAAAACGGTGCTCAGAAAGTGCCTTTGTCGTTAGAGATGCGGCTTCGCCAACGGGTACGTTGTAAACAAACAACCTTCAAACCATTCATCAAGGTTTACTTTCCTCTCCCGGACGACTCAGGTCAGTAGGAAGTTAGAAGAAATTTAGTCAAAGCTGAGTGCTGGAAACCGAGAGCAATCGCGCTCCTCTCCCCAGCCACATCCGCACGAGTAGTGGGAGGACTGGAATGTCCCCGACGCCCTCCAGAGAGCCAGGAACCGGGATAGAACCCGAGCAGGTGGCTGGGAGTAAAGAGGGTGAGCCAGTGACCCAGAAAAAACCACCTACCCTCTCACAGACTAGATCTGGGGAAGGGGTGGCGACTCCCTCCCCCTAGATCTTGCCTGGCAAGACAACTGTGAGAAGGAAGGCCTTGTCCTCTGGAGCAGCTCAATTCCTTCTCTCCCTGTCTTCTCTCCATTGAGGGAAAGGGAGAGTGGGTACTAGGAAGCCAAGTTTCAAAAAGCCCTACCCCACGCATTTGATTCATACAGAAGTTTATGAAATAAGTCAAAAGTGCAACACATGTAAGTCAATTTGAACAGCATACAGCCTACCTACATACTTGTTTGTTAAATAAAATAGAATTGTATTAAGTGCAAGTATTGTGACTCAACATTTTTATGCGGGTGGAGTAAAATCAAAATTAAAATCTGTAGTTGCCTTGAAAGAGAAAAGTTTACAGGAAAGACAAGGCCACCGCACAGGTTCGCCTTGGAAAAGATAGGAGTATTTGGAATTGCTCCTTCAATGGCTGCTGTTGTTCAATGCCCGCTGTTGTTCAATGCCCAAAATAGAGCATAGCCCACTGAAGTGAGCTACTTTCCCCCATTATCTATTCTTGAGGTGTACTCTGATTCCAGACTCTCCACAGTGTGAGAAAAATCATGGCTGCCTTAGAAAAAGACAGGCGGGGGGCACCTTCAAAGATAAGCAGAGCATTGAGAGTCTGGAACTCTGGGTTTTCCATGCAGTAAGTTCTCTGCCCACAGAACCCACAGAGGAAAAGGGGGAAACTACTACAGGTCACTCCATAGGAAACAGCATTTTTGCAAAAGCTATCTTCAGAAGCTACCACGGTTTCAACAGCGGAGAAATTAGCTATGAAAATAGAGGAAGTGACAGGGACCATATGGTTACTAATTCAGAAGCCGCAAGGCCAACCTGATGACTAAATAATGTAAACTTAAGGCCGGCCCTACTCCAGGAAGGTCCTGCTTTGTAAAGAGGACTTGGCTGCTACAAAAGAAGAAAATGCTGAGGGGGCCATGAGTCTAATCATCCAGTGAGAATCAGGGTTGGTATTGGATGGGGGAGAACGTTGTCTTCATTCCTTGCCAAGCTTCAAGAAATAAATAGTGGAGGACAGAGGAGTAGATACAGAGGACCAAATGAAAACTGCCCTGATCACAGAATAACTCAAAGGGAAAACTCTCAGTTCCCAAACAGCCTATAAGACAAGATAGTGGATGGTTGAAGAGATTTGCTTCAGTCTTTCATCTTTCAAACGATAGCTTCAGATTAAATAACATTTACGTTGTGCTTTGTATGTGTCAGATACTGCCCATACAAGGCAGCATGGTGGATAATTGGTGTGGCAAAGAGACATCTCGGCTGTTTGGCTTTCAATTGTCTGCTCAAGCACTGCATGATGGCTAAATCTCCAGAGCAAAATACTTATGTCACCTCAAACAAAATACTTAAGCTCTGGGTTTCCTCCTTTGTAAATTAGGGACAATAACCCACCTCACAGGATTCTAGATCTAAACACTATGCGGACATACCTTGGAGATATATATTGCAGGTTTGGTGATTCCAGACTACCACAATACAGCATCGCGGTAAATCGAAATGAAATCTTCATGCTAATGGCAGGTCTTGCCTTCAATTTGTAAAAAAAAAAAAAAAAAAAGCAACATCTGTAAAGTGCAAATAAAGTCAAGAGCAATAAAATGAGGTATGCTTGTACAAATTTTATCTGTTGACTCATGATTTAGAACACAAGATTTGAAGCGCCTAGCTCTATTCTCTATATTGGGCCAGTAACTTAGCCTCCCTAAGTCACAGATTATTCATTTACAAATTGGAGATAATATTGTGATAGTCTGTGACATTGCTGCCCTTCAATGGACCACCCTCTTGTTAGTCACACCCTTGTAGAGTCCTTTCCACTTAAATCTGAACTGGACCAGTGACTTGCCTTAACCAGGAAAATGCAGTAGTGAAGCTATACTAGTTCCACACCTTAACCCCTGAGAAGGTGTGGAAGTTTCTGCTTCTCTGTTTTTGGGAGACCTAAGCCACTAAGTAAGAAGTACAACTACACTGCCAGAGAAACCACACGGAGAGAGAGAGTGGCCTTGAGATATGTGGAGATGATAGGGAGAAGACCAGCTACCCCACATCTGAGCTGCACTTGGCCCCCAGCAGGTCCACCAGCTGACAACAAACACATTGCTGACACTGTCAAGACCAATAAAAAAAAAAACATAGAGCCCAGCCCAGCCCAGCCCAGATTGTAGAATTGTGAGCAAATAAAATGGATACTGTTTTAAGCCACTAAATTTTGAAAGTTTTAAAAATGCAGAATGGGCATTCTAAGGATTAAATAAGAAAACGCAAATAAAGTTCTTAACACAAATTCTGTTACATACTAAAGCATTCAACAAATAATGCCTATGATTTAAGTCTCATGGAAACCCAAAGAATAGATAATATATTATATATCGCCATTTTACAGATACAGAAACCGTTCAAATCAGTTTTAAAGTATTTTGCCCAAGTAAATACAATGAATTATTAAAAGGAAAAAACAAAAAACAAACAAACAAAAAAAAACAAAAAACACCTGGGATTCAGCCCAGGTTTTGCAATCCTAGATTGGATTGCTTTTTCCCCTCTCCTATCCTGTGTGAGCCAGGAGTTACTCCCTGGTATTATCATTTTAAATCAGTGTCATTTTAAAACTTATTGCCTTCCTATCTCTTAGAGAAGCTCCACAGTTTTTATAAGATAATCAATTGAGAGAACACACCTGCTGATATGTAAATCTTTCTCTACATTTGCAAAGACTTTCCACTGGGAGTTGATGTCTGCTTCCTAATTCTCCCCTCAACACACTTCCAGTTGAAACCTTCCCTGAGCCAGCTGTCCCTCCCCCTCTCTGTCCACATCCAACCAGTGGCAGTGCTGTGATTCTTTCTTCTGGTGTCCCTCAAATCCATTCTTCCTTTCCTCCTCCCACAACAGGACCTTATCTCAAAATGTATGCAATGGCCTCCTAATTGGTTTCTCTACCTCCAGTCTCTCGTGTCTGGCCTGTCTTTTCATGACGTCATCCCCTGGCTCACAAGCTTTTAGCAATTGCCCATGAGAATAAAGGTCAAGCTATCAATCTAATACCCAAGGTCTCCCAATAAACTGCCATCTTCCTAGCTTTCCGACCTTGATTCTTACACAAATGTGTCCTTCATCCACTCCAGCCAGGCTCTGACCCAAGCATGTTTGACTTATTCCTTCACTACATCTCTCTCTTTGTTTGAATCCTGTTCAAAACTGCCCTCCATACTCCAATGTTGAAGCTTCATTAAT